ATATCAACATTATTGTAAACTCTGATGTAACTGCCATAACCGACGGTGCAATCATATGTTCGATCTTCAATGACTACTTTATGTCTACTTATGGAACAAATGCCAAAGAAGCTTCTCAGATCAAACTGATACACAGAAGCAGAAATACACTCTAAACTGTTGAATTTACCCTTACTGACATATGTCGTCAAGTCAGCTTAGTTCGGCCATCATGTCCACCAGGCCCTGAAAACATCCCGCCAATTCTGGTCAAACATGGAGGGCCCGACACCCCCCTGTTTTTGCTTAATGTATTTACACTTTCCATGCTCAATGGGGAGTATCCTATACACTGGAAACAATTAACTATAATACCGCGACACAAAATCGTATCTATAGCAAGATGTAAAAAATTACCGCTCAATCCACCACACATCTATTATCTCCAGAATCATAGAAAGGTTAGTTAAAAACGCATAATAGAATATTTGAATTCTATGAGCTTTCTCAGTAAACAACAGCACGGTATTTTTGAAAGTTAGGTCGTGCACTACCTGCCAGTTCGATTACCTTGATTATGTGACTAGAGCAAGAGACGCCGAAAGTGTCATCATCGTAATATTTTTTGACATCCAAAAGGCTTTTGACCGTGTCCCACACAATTTATTGTTACGGAAGCTTATGTCCCATGGTATCACAAATTCGCTTCTAGGTTGATTGTCTATCTGGAGGGTAGAAAGCAAGTAGTCAAAATCAGTAACTATACCTCTGAAGCCACCACAATCTCCAGTGGAGTGATTCAGGTTAGCGTGTTAGGCCCGCTTTTATTCTTAATCTATTTCAACGATCTCCTCGACGAAATTTCGTATGGGAAGCTGTTCCTTTTCCCTGATGATGTTAAAATTCTGTATTGTTCCGTCCTTGGGCAATGTAGTCCCAACTTAGCCTATATTCAGTTTGACTTGTCCGCATTGGAGCTCTGGAGTAACTCCTGGAAGTTGCACTTTGCCACTGACAAAAGTAATCTATATTACCACGGCTGTGGCCCTTCGCTGAACATCCCTACATTAAACCATACCCCTATTCCTGTGTGTGGCGCAGTCCGAGACCTTGGTCTAAGATATTCTGCCTCATTGAATTTTTTAGAGCATGTTATATTCTTGCAGTCTTCTGCCAGAAGATTAATCGTCTACATAAGTCGGACTCTTATTTTGAGGGATTCTAGGCTTCAGGCCTTTAAAATATGTGTTAGGCCGAAGCTTGAGTACTGTACAATAGTGTATAGTAATCTGAGAAAAGTGGATATTATAGCACTAGAAAACATTCAACGATCATTCACAAAAAGGTTTTTGAACATGCCTAATACTATTGTACAGGGGCCGCTTCCAAGAATGGCTCTGGGGAGCTCTTCGGAGCTAGCTGAGAGCGGATCGCGAAAGACGGCTAGCGACGAGCCTGGGCCCGGAACTACGGAGCGGGAATATGTGGACAGCGCAATAAATCAGACAAATACGCCGCTAGCGCAGCCCACAGGACCGAGGCAGAGCCGATTGACACAGCCCAGAAGAAGCAAGTCGAGAGCTCTCGAACGACTCCTGGCCGATCCAAATCGGGTACAGAGAAGCGGAGATCGAGGCGAAAACAGGAAGGCGGGACTTCCAAGTCAGAGCTCCCGAGGCGAAAGGACTGGCTTGCCTCTAACATCCGTACCTGTGTTGCGTGGTGGGACGGAAATCTAGTCGATATTCGATGGCGCGCGTGAGACCCGGATGTGCCCATTTTCGGTGTGCAATAAACGTCTACCCCCCTGTCTTGTCGTTCTCGCTACACTATGACATACCGTGAGCGTTGCGAGGCGCTAAATCTGGAGCCGCTATGGCTTTGCAGACTCAAACTTAGTCTGTGCCTTCTATACCGCTTACTATTCGGTTTAAGCTTCACTGCTCAGCCACAACTCGAGTTTCAGACTCGTATGCGCTATGAACTAAGAAACAACGAGCGCACAGCACAAATACAAAACTCTCGCACAAAGGTTCGTTCAAATATTTTCTCCGTAAAATATGCGTTAATATGGAACAAACTTCCATTGAGTACTAGAAAATGCACTACCTATCCTCAATTCAGACGAATGATTAATATTCACCTAATTGTGGCAAATTTCTGGTCAACACTAAGCCAAACGGTGACTGTAGATGATTTGTATGAGAAAGGTCCTGGATACGTATGAAAGTCATCATACCCTCTATTCGTTTCAATATTATGTTACCTACATATAGTTGAATTCTTGAGTATGTATTTGTAAACGATCTTACTCATATCATTCCGTTTAACCAATTCTGTTTTCTCCTTTGACGCACTGGTTCGTAGATGCACTACGCTTTCCAAGCTGATGTCGCTGTACCATCGTCGTCACTCGCCAAGATTCTCCATCAAATTGTGATTGTATTGTATTCATTATTCTGTTTTATAATTCCTCATAGTTTATCTTCTTGTTTGTTTCACTGTTGGTCATGACTGGGCTGATCTCTTGTGGTGACGGATTACAGCTTCCAAAATAAAAAGTATACCTATGCAAATCATATTACTACGGACTCGCTGGATTAAACAAAATAGGTGCCATACTTGATTGATCCGCATGACAAAACGGGCTGAGGCTTCATCGCCTATAATGTGTGCATAAAACAGCCCTAAGAAAAGACATTTGATACCTAGTTCTGATGGTTTATTTACTATCTTGCCACAAAGCCAATTGGAGCAGGGAAGTGCGGGTGAAACCCATCTTGGGAATACCCTGCATGGAAGCAAGTCCCCTGGGGACAGTTTCATGGATGACCGCATTACTTTACTTGAATTTTCAGTGAAATCTGCATTTATTATTGCTCCCAGTGTCTTTCTCTCTATACTATTTTCAAACTGCTAATCACTTCAAAAACCCATATGGGAACCATTGAACCAAAGACATACAATTAACTAGATTATGCGATCATGTTGTACATGTCGATTAGGCCACCCAATTGGTCTGTGCCTCGCACTATTGAGGAATAAAACATTCATTTATTATTTATTTATACTTCTTTCGATCATCAGCACAAGGAAACCTGCCAACAAATGGCCTGGTGAGCTGCAAACAGTTATTCATCCATATTTCGATATTTTAAAAAACCCTTGGAACTGGTCGGGAAATCATCATTTCAGAGGGCTTTGTGAACAATCGGTTGATGTATCTGTTAAGTCCAAAGCTGTCGGAGACGATTAATTCACATGTATTTATAGGTACGAGGTCCAGCTCTTGTTATAAAACGATGTAGTCACTCATCTGCTATCAATGACTGCTTGGGTCGGAAAGCATTCACTTCATTTCCCGATCCCTGTACTTGGCTTTGAGGCGAGAGCACTGAGGTTGACTTCGAAGATAAATCATAAAGCGCCCGAAATAGTAAGATGCTAGCTTCCACGTGTGTTTACGCTGGAACTTTCCGAAAATCGAAGTTAAGGATAAGCTGTATGGAAGCGAGAGCGTTAAGTATCATCTCTGATAAGGTGTAATCATGTATGGTGGCTTGTGCTGATTTATTCAAAGAACAGGAACCATCATTGATATGAACCGAAAAAGCGGGGAGATTGAAGCGATTAAATCCAAATGCCGAAAACCCTGCAGAGAGACATGGCAGAGGCTCTGATCTTTAGTATAAAAAGGGGTTTTCACACTATTTCGTCCAAGATTCCTCAAACATGTGTCTCTAGGAGTGCACCTCTGGACCTAACTCGCATGGAGTTTCGATGCTATATCGACCTTTATGATCGTTAGGTGGTCCCACCGAGCAAGTCGAGGTTAACTGTTTGACCAGTGGATGCGTCATTGTAGCAAACTTTTATGGGGCCATTAATTAGTCACACTTTGTTAGCAGCGGAAGACATGGCATTGTCCGGTAACTAAGGTAACTCATTGTCTCGATAACGCATTTCACTAAGCAAATCATGCATTTTGTTTAAAGAAGTCGAGCTGAATTCGGCTACACCCTCAACTTCTGACTTGAATTTGGTATTTCTCTATGGGAGAGCATTTCATGTTAGAAATAGTGGACCAGCTACGGATCCGGCACTACACTAGCGTTGTGTCACAAGATTATACCTACTATGGTTCCTCACCATGACAATTCTCGCAATATTCTGCTCAGTATCAATATGGCAAGAAAACGACAACAGATAAATCGCCCCAAGAGAGCGCTGTGCAACATTGAACTCGAGATTCTCCTCCACCTGCATAATTATGCGTTTTGGGTTGGGCGCCGTCTCTCAAGAACTGTGCCACCTGAGTAAACTAAGACTGGTCACTAAACCGACTGGGATCCGATATGAAAATTTGCATAATCGACTAGCATAGTTTTCTTGGAAGCGCGCAAACCGGGAAACACCCAACTTCAGGAGTGAATTTGCTTGTGCCAACCTACTGATCTTGAACTAGCCAAGCTGGAACACTGGGGACAGTCTAAAACTGAAGCGATATAAGCCCAGACCAGCTAGTATGGGATTTTTAAGGGGCATTCACTACGAAGTGTAATATTCCAGTTTTGCATCGCCAGAAAACATCAAAAATGGATTAGATGTAATCCGTTACCAAATAACTAACGATTCAGCCGGGAGGCGTTGTCTTAGGCATATTACCTTTGTACGCCTTGGGAAGTAACTGGTCAATCAGAGGCGAAAAAGCCGAAAGCCGAGCCTGGTTTGTGGCATCTGACCATTGATTAGTGGAGAGCTGTACCGACCCATGTCCTCGCTCGTCGCGACGTGCAGACAGTAGAAGGGTGCAGTCACAGGACTGCCAACTTAACGCAATGCAGCTGTCATTCAGGCGAGACTGGACACCTTGAAGCAACGAAGCACATCACCCTGGTTGCACGCTCGACGTACGAGCTAAAACAAGGCCAATCGACTGCCAGTTTGTGCCACAGTGCGTCGCTTTGTTTCTCTGTTCGTCCCGGTCCAATCACTTCAATCCACTAGGCGATCTAGCCAATGAACACTAGGTATCGATCAGTTGGCAGTGTCGGTTCTTCTCCGCGATAGGTGCAATCCGGACAGGCATGCGAGTAGGCTGAACCAGTAACAGAACATCGGACGTTGAGATGTGCGACCGCACCAAGGGGTGATCGTCCCCGTGGGTGTGTTAGTCCTTCACTCATCCAACCAGCCTGTAAATCGTTGCTACCACGACCGATAGGAGTGGTTTACCTGCCTTGAGATTGTGCCTTAGTTGTGTTGTGATCCCCGTTGGATTACCTTTTACTGGAGGTTCCGAAAACCGTTAGTACTCACTGACGAATGCAATGCTTCAGCGTGGACCGACCGCAACTGCTCTGTCCCCTGGCCTCTATATCGATGCTGCCAGAATGCTTGGATCGTGTAATATTTCTTCAGCGTCCTCCGCTGGTGACTCCACAGTGGCAGTTAATCCCCTTCCTCCTGGCATGTATGCTGCTGGGACAATGTCACCTAAACTCATTGGTATTACACCTGTGCTCACACGGATTCAGTCCCCGCCGGCTCAGCAGCTACCCACAAAATCGGATATTTTTGTTCACACTCAGCATATCTCGAAGACTCAGGTCCAAGCTGAAACACCACCACCCGAGCATGCTTTTAATGGCCCCGATGGAAAGATTCAGAAAAAACACAAAATTGGACGTGTAGGTCTATCTCGCGCAAATGAGGAGCTAGGTAGAAGCTTGCACTCGTTGAAAATGACCATACGACGCACCAGTCAAGCACATCAAGTTCATCCTAGCGCTTGCAGTGTTGTGACACCACCGGAGCCAATAAACGCGTGTGTTTCCTGTGATATTTCTCTACAGCCAGCAAACCGCTTGGCTCCTAGCCCACTTACTGGTTGTACGGTGGCTGTAGTTCAGAACCGTTCTCCTTGTTCAACTGTGAACGCCAGTGCGGAAACGGTACGTCTGTTTTCACAATCATGCGTTTATCAACTTTGTGCGTAAAGTGCCCAAATGTTTCTTGCTGCTACAGATTGTGCGTAAGATCTATGGTCCAGCATACCGCAGCACTGCTTGGTGTGTATTTTTGTTTCCGTTGATAGCACCATCGGACAATGAGGTATCCGCTTTGATTCGGGTTTTTTGAGCGGAAATAAGACGCAACAGACTAGCCTTGAGGATTGTGGGTACTATCCTTCATGTCGATGGCCAGTTCACCTCTAGTCCTTGCCGGTTACTTTCATTACGCACCGCTTTTGTCGGTGAGTGTTCGGCAGCATATGTAGCTATGTTTATATGCAGGCTTTTTATGATTTCTCAACAAGTGGGACTCGAACAGTAGTATAAATTCCCATGAATGTTCATTCCCTGGCGCGTTGTGGATCCAGGGTATTATTCGTCCGCGATAACGAATCTAGAAGTCAGATCAGTACGCGCGAATCACACGACGGTCAACCAAGTAATACCCATACGACATGCATTGGCAGTACCCGCCACCTTTGTCACGTTAAATGAAGTACGAAAGTAATAAGAGCGTTAAGAACCGGAAAGTAATAGATAATAATGGATAATGATAAGGCATAGGCTGCTGTAGAGAAGAAAGTTAAGATTAGATAAATTACTTGACTCTCCGTCTACACTTTTTTGTTCATCGTACTGGTTAAATTCATTCCATCTTACAGCACTTGCTGACACATCACTGACTGCACAGGTGTTTGCTGATTGCTCGATTTTCGTCCGATTTTAACCCGTTAATCGTCCGAAATATTTGCGATCTTGAAGTTCCGGACAGAAAACGAACAAAAACAATTCAGTGGCAATTACCATTACTCTTTTCCCTATCATCTTTCTTGCAAATTCGTGATCGCTGCATACAAAAGTTCACGTGACCCTTCGGTAATCCTCCAAAACTGCTTAGGTATATACTTCAGATGTTCCCATGCGACCGATAAAGCAATGCATTTGGCAAACGTATATCGATGACGTTGTGCATTCCTTTCAAAAAACGATTCCACTCCGCTATCCGAGTGATATTATACACTTGAGCGTTCGATGACGCTATCAGGGTTTGCTGCAGCAAAAGATATAGGACGCCGTGTGATACGTGCCATTGCGAGAACACAATGTTACTGGCCTTTCTAATCTGGTTCCCGCATTCAGCTGACAGTTTATACGACTTTAATAACCCGTTTCAACACCGATTTCACCCTATCAAACTTAAATCGGACGCTTGGCCTTTCGATGGTGCTATCAGGGCACCCAATTAATTGATACTAACATATTGGGCTTTCTTTTACACTTCCCAGACCACATGATCGTTTTACTTATTATGGACGCAAAACTAAGTTTGTTTTCATCCTTAGCACTGGCGATTAGATCATCATCTGTTTGCATGTTTTCGCATCTAGGCACCCCATGTTTCCATTAGACTTCATGTAACTGGTCATTTGTAGGACGGCTACCTAACTTCGTGTTTGAATCCTTTAGATTACCACCTACTTTTTCGTTCTAAGACTACTTGTCTGGCGGTTTTCTTAGCCCGGATTTCAAAAACCTTAAATTCCAAACTCCTGTGCTTTCTGTGTAGCAGTCTGGAGATTTCCCGGTGTCTGTAAAATGTTAAAATTGCTATTTCATTTTCCATCTAGGCGATCGGTGTGGAATATTGAACTGCATGTTGTGTTCGATTGCTTGACCTGAGCATCACCTTTTTGCTTGTCGCTCGTCTCGATTGTAACACAATCCTGTGTGCTATACTCTTCGATCCTCCTGGCTAGCAGCATCAGCGGAGCCTTTTTATAACTAGGCAAACACTGACTCTTACTGCAGATGAAAGTTCCCCTGCAGCTCAGTCTACCTTCTCAAACTTTTGTTTGGGCTCCCGCTAAATCTGACGACGCGCATTCGTTCACCATCTGCTGCTGCTACGCAAACTACTTTTAATATGCGTTTCGCATACTCAGTTAACCTTTCGCGACGAGGTCATTCATATAGCATATCACGGGTGACTGAAAAATGTTCACCGGAGTACCCTGAGTGACCATTTTTTATACTTGTCTATCCCAATTGGATTTCAGTCGCTCAGCAAATTTTATACAGCGCACCCTAAACATATACCGTAAATAAAAATACCGTCAACAATAAACGGAAATCGAATCACAACTTGCACTTATGCAATAGGTTATAAAGCTAAACCGAATTTTTTGAGTAATAGAAATTATTCCCAAATGTGTCTGTGGTACAGCAAATGGCACAAAAAATGGTCACGAGGGTCACAAAAACGGTCACTAGCGCTGACTGAAAATAGGATTTCACTAAAAAGTACTCATTGGCAAAGAAGAGCGGCGTTAGAAATGCATGGTAGTAATATTTGGACATATTACGCCATCTTTTTTATAGCGATAGTACATCTCTTCCCAATTTTACTTTCCTATTCTCATTTCCACTATTATTGTACTGTTTTGTTAACTGATTAACAACCGAAAAAAGACTCTCGGCTTACGATTCGCCTTCTGGTTTCGGCTGCGCATATTGTGCTGTTGCTCTTCGTCGGTCTGCCAGCCTCGTTCATCGGTCATCGGACCTAACGCGTCGAATTATTGTGCTAACTTTCGTCTTCCGACTGGCTTGTGCGACTAACTGACGGCCTACCGAGTATCATGCTTTACCTAAGGTCAGGTACAGCGTTCTTATTTACAGACTGAGTTCTTATATGTAGTTTAACCCCTTTTTGTTTGGCCTTTCCGCTACATATTTGGTGACTCCGTTCTCTTTTTTGAAAGCTCAGAACTTTTTTGTGCCTTTACTATGTCGGACCACGATTCCCGCACTGACATTTCGGAAAATTATGTTTGTTTCTCCCCTGCCTTCGATTCATCTAATCCTCACGTGTGGTTTTTATAATGGGAAGCTCTTCATACACGCCGTATTTACTTCTCAGTCATTAATGTTCGCACATGTCACTGCCCAGCTTCCTACCCACATCGCAACTGACCTTATAGATTTGTTCGATCCGATTCCGGCTGACGCATTTTACCATAAGTTCAAAGCCACCGTATTGAAGCGCACCACGGCCTCCGGGGAAGCTAGGCTTCGACAGTTACTTTCCGGTGTTGAACTAAGCGATCGCACGCCGTCACAACTCCTCAGGCACACGTTTACGTTGGTCGGTTCCTTTAAGATCGATGACACGATTCTGCGACAGTTCTGGACGAAATGTCTTCTAGCGAACAACTCAGCTCTTCTCGCTGTTTTCGCAGATGATTTGTCTTTGGACAAGCTGGCCGAAACAGCAGACAAAATTCATGAGTGCTTTCATAAACACGCAGCAATTCACTCAGTTGAGTCGACCGCTAACGCTGATCCGATTGAAGCGATTTCCGAGAGCTTATCAAAACTGGAGCTTGTTTTCTCGAATACTAATCGCTACAGTGGTAGTAGCCCTAGAGGCCGCTCTCGAAGTAGACGTAGTCCCTCCAGGAGTTCGAAACGTCATTTACGTTGGTACCATCACCGTTTTGGCGATGATGTAAGGAATTGTCGACCTGGTTGTAACCACTCGAAGGCATTCCACAAACCGCAGCAGGGAAACCTTTACGCCAGCTAGTAAAGTGACGACTGCATCTGGCCAATCTTATAGTCGACCACTTTACGTCTACAATTCCTCAACCAATTTGCACTTTTGTTTGACACCGGTGCCGAGGTCAGCATTGTTCCTCGTGCTGCAGAAACACGCAACCTACTTCCAACCGGACTGACATTGCAGGCGGCGAACAATACTAAGATTCATACATACGGCCAGAAAATTCTGACGGTCAACTTTTGTCTTCGTCAAAGTTTTCCCTTTGTTTTTACATCGCTGATGTCCAACGCCCCATACTTGGTGTTGATTTCCTTACCAAGTTCGGCCTGATCGTGAACCTGCGTAACCGTAAAATCTGCGATAGTTTGACATCCTTGTCATTTTCGGGTAAAATCAGTTCGATCGGTCTTCGCTTGGCCTTGCTCGCCGACAATGTGTTCACCAAATTATTGCTACAGTTTCCTGCTCTTTACCAATCGTCTAGACTTTCCTGAGCCTAAGCACGAAATTACTCACATCTTAACACATGGACCGCCGGTAACCGCCCGACCTCTACGATTACCTCCAGACAAGCTCGCTACTGTCAAGGCAGAGTTCGAACATATGCTTCGTCTCGGTATCGTTCGTCCTTCCAATAGTCCATGGTCCTCCCCGCTTCATATGGTTCCCAAAAAGTCCAGTGGCGACTGGAGACCTTGCGAGGATTACCGTGCATTAAACAATTCCACCGTCCCCGATAGATATCCGATTCCGCACATCCATGATTTTTCAACTGGTTTACATGGAAGAACAATTTTCTTCAAGATTGACTTGGTGCGTGCATACTATCAAATTCCGGTTGCTCCCGACGATATTCCGAAGACCGCTATAACCACGCCATTTGGTCTTTATGAGGGCGTTCGCATGCCATTTGGTCTACGAAATGCCGCACAGACTTTCCAAATGTTTATCGATCAAGTCCTTAGAGGGCTCGACTTCGTCTACGCCTACATTGATGATATTCTTGTGGCCAGTTCCAATCATGATGAGCCTCTGTCACATCTCCGATCGATCTTCGAACGCTTTGCTCAGTACGGCGTTACGATCAATGTTGACGAATGTGTTTTTGGACAAAGTTCTGTTGATTTTTTGGGCCACCGAATTGATTGAAATGGCATTAGTCCTCTCCTCGAGAAAGCATAAGCGTTTGCAGATTACACCATGCCGCAATTCTTCAGAAGTCTCTGTCGTTTTCTCGGCATGGTGCATTACTACGTCCGTTTCATATCAGATTGCTCTGGGCTACTCCAGCCATTGACCGACTTACTTAAAGGCAGGTCACGAAAATTCGAGCCCACTCAAGAAGCTATCGATGCATTCGACAAGATCAAGCATGTGT